GCTTCGACTGAGCTTAAGAAATGAGTCGCCTCGAGGACACTTCAAGGCTGATTTGCAGTCACATTGCTGCACGCTCATGCCTGCGTATACTGATGGGAGTAACGAGGCGTCAGCCGCCTATAAGGTGTGCCTGTGCATGAACACGTGTTCACTGACATGTTTGCATCACGCTATCCTCCAGCACAGCTGATGCACAGGTCTATAATTGATTTACAGGCCTCTGTCTCATCTGTGTACACCTCAAGCCTTCCAGTCAGGATAAAAATATGACGGGTTCAGTGATTGGTTATACGAATCAGGTTCCAGGACCTCTGTGAAACGACACGTAGCCCAATTTATATTCACCCTGTGAGAACATGTTCAGGGAACACGAGCATGCATATCTGTGTGTCAGGGGACATGCAACAATATGCAGGGCCTCCTTTGTCATGCTTTTCATTCCCTAACACGTCAGTGTGTGAAAGGTCTGCGCTGCAGGCCAGTTTAGACTCTATCGACTCACTCGCTGTTGGACTTGATTCCATCAGCTGCCTGTAGAGCTTTGATGGGGCTTCGTGGACGTGGACTAACGTCCTCCTCGTTATCTTTGACCTGATAACAAGCTGGATGTTCGCCTCCTCATCAGTCTGGAGAACGCGGTATCCTTGATTTCCCGTCAGTCAGGCCACAGGATGGTTTTCCTCGTGGTCACGAGGGACAACTGTATAGTTTCTCCTCCTGTTCTCGTGTAAATGATTTCTGTGGTTATTTATTTTTACGTTTCTGACAGTCGCATGTGTAAAACAACAACAGCATGTGGTTAGTGTATGTGCTTCTCTATGTGTGACGTATTCGTGTTATGTTGTGTGTCTGCAGGACTACCGAGTGAACATCTTCCTCCGTCAGCAGTGGAATGATCCCAGGCTGGCGTATTCCGAATACCCCGACGACTCTCTGGACCTGGATCCCTCTATGTTAGACTCCATATGGAAACCGGATCTGTTCTTCGCTAACGAGAAGGGAGCCCACTTCCACGAAGTCACCACAGACAACAAACTGCTCAGGATATTCAAGAACGGCAATGTTTTGTACTCTATAAGGTGAGCAGCAGCACGGTTAAGAAAAACCTTCGTGACACACAGAGTCATGTGACTCTGACCTCTGTTTGTTTCCTGTAATTTGAAGGTACAAGCTCCTTTATGCGTGAAACCAAGGAGCCGTGTGCTGTGTATATACATGCATGCGTGCTTTCATAGCCAGAGGCACGCAGCGAGATACCGAGGAAGACGCATCTGCAGAATGGATATATGCACGTCTGCAGTCGTGTCTATTTAATCAGGTCACTGATATAAAAATGTTTAGAATATCTTCCTGTTGTTGGATTTAAGTCCATCGCCTCAGACTTCATGGTGCTAAATGTAAGTCTTTGATATGTAAAAGTAAAGTGCTTTACAGGTTAGTTAATGAACAGGTCCAAACTTTGGAGCATTTTGTTCTGATTGTTCTGATTGGAGCTCGCTGCTGCCTCGCCACACGTCCTCTGGCCTGACACTGTTTTCTCACTCCTAGCTTGTCACGTTTAAACACTGGACCGCATTTATTCATTTGACTAATCTGACTTGCAAATGTTATAATATGAGCTCCGATTAAACATTTATTCTTCATTTTTGGGTTTAGTGGAACTTTTTATGTCCATCGTGGGTCAAAGAGAGAAGGTCTTCATGTGCCGGCCCTCAGGCTTTAGGATTTAAATATTAGATGCTGACAGTTTGTCAGCTTGAGTGGGATCTCCTTTCTGAATATTTTGATGTATAAAGTCTGATATTATCGGTAGGGCTGCCACGATTACGTCGACTATCAAAATCGTCGACGACTAATTTAATAGTCGACGCGTCGTTTGAAGCTTTGTAAGATCACAAAAGACGCAGGAATAAGTAGTAGGATTTAAGAGTGTAATAACGGACTGAAACA